TCCCTGGGAATATCCTCCACAAATCATGCATAGCCACACTCATTTTGGCTGTTGAATGTGTTTTGCATTTGGAACATTTTTTCATCAAAAAGAAGAACCAACATTTTTGCATGCCAGGAAATCAACTTCTTGCATCTGTCTGAGAAAGTAGGAAGAAGCTAGGTTCTTCCTGCATTCTCAGACTGATTTCTCTCAGGTTAGGAAATTTTTGTTTGTTGGGCTGCAATTTGAAAAAATTGTAGACCTATAAATTTCCACTATTGTCTGTCCATCTATCTTTCCTTAATCTTGAGAACAAAGTTAGATAGATGAAAGATGAGACCAGAGGTAGGATGCCCCGATTAACTATATACAAACTGATACAAATTGGAAGTCACATTATTTTAATTCAAAAGCAGTTAATAGATGATTGGCATTACTCTATTGTTAAAGGAAAGTATGCTGTACAGGGGCAAGCCACTACTAATTTGAGGTGGAAAGCATATAATTTAAATTAAATTACTTAAAAATTGCAGTTTGACATTATGACAATGTCACATAAATNATAAAATGATTTTATATATATAGAAGAATATATATTTATAATTAATGAAAAAACATTCCTTTGACAATTATAAAAATTGTTATTTTTTATTATTTAATTTGATAGTGCCAGAAATACTAAATCAATACTATTTATATGGTGAATAATTATAAAATAAATCTATTGTTTAAGTTTAAATATTAAAAATAATGCACTTTTTTAAAAGTACATTATTTATTTTCTTTGTTTTTTGAAGAATGAACAGAGTTCATCTACTTGTTTTAATTGGATGATTAGCATGGCACTGATAGCTGCAACAAATCTATAATTATAGTTATAAATGATTAGAATCAATATGCAATTCCTGTTTGAATGAAAAGAAACTAAAATATGGAGATTATATGTATACTAGTTGTTTTTTCTATAAAGCTAACTTTGAAAATATTATTTAGAATTAAAACCTGACACTATGCATATGTTTTGAGCAAACCATTATATACAGATGGTTATTGTATATAATAGTTGCTCATTTAATTGTATTGTTTTTACCGTTTAAAATTGTTTCTGAATGAGATCAATAATTTAAATAATAATGTTATTTTTCAACATTTTTTTCTAAAGACTGTTTTATTCAAATAATTAGTATAGTTGGAACTGAAACGGGTATTTGAAGTTCATTCCAATCTTTACTGTTTTTATATATATATAATATAAATATACACAGTAGAAATTGTTTATTATAGGATATATTTTTATTGTTACTAATTTTCAGATTTTTGATGTTATATTTATAATAATTGATATATTTTTGTTATTTTTATAAAACATTTTCTGTTAACAATTAGCTATATTAAATGTATTTTGACATTTTGTATCTACCTTTAACCAGAAATTACTGAATCAGAAAATGATTTTTTAATAAATTTTATTGTCTATTTATTTGACTATTTTTCCTGTTATGAGTCAGATTATCCTGTAATGATGAAAATTGTGGCACTATATAGCCTTAATGCAGTGATGACTTATATTGACAAAAGCAATCAATCATTATTTTCTTTCATTTTGAAAGATATAATAATAATGTCAACTGACAGTCAAAAATATCATGATAGACAAGAAAAATAGCAACTTTTCTGTTCTTGCTAGCAAATTGTTAAAAGCATTCAAGTGTGTCCAATAATGTTCACATTTGGAGTTAATGTTTGTGTGTCTAGAAGGAAAAATTGCCACACAAACCATGTAATGTCATTCAGATTACTTTGCAATATTATTTGAACATAATTATTTAGAATAAGGATTCTCTTTTAAGATCTGCTTTTTCACTTTTGAAATTTGGAAAAGTTTAATATTTTTCTGTGTAAATAATACTATTGGGTTGTTCGGAAAGTAATTTTGTTATTTTTCCGTGGAAAAAAACACAACATTTTTATAATAAATAAATATTTTATTGAATTACATATCGACCATTTTGGTCAAATATCTATTGTCATCGTTTCTGGTAGTAGCATGATTTCACATTCATAAAAGTTTTGATCATTGCTTACAAAAAACTGATCCAAGTGATTTTTGACATTGTCATTTCAAGTAAATGTCTTACAGTTAAAAAAAATTTGTATAGACCGGAACAAGTAATAATCTGAGTGTGCTGGATCTGGCGAATATGGTTGGTGTGATAACATGTCCCATCTAAGTTATAACAGTTTCTGACAAGTTACCAAACTTGTGTGAAATTTGACATTATCGTGGTAAAACACTACCTGTTTTGTTGATCAATTCTGGCCACCTTTTCTGTTTGATGATATTACTCAATTTGTTTACTTGATGGCAGTACACTTTCGAATCAATTGTTAAATTGTCTGGTAAAAGCTCCAAAAAAAAAATTTCTTTAAAATCCCACCAAAGAGAGCATCTCTCTTTAAGAACATGCGGGACCCATATATCAAGCTTTGAAACGAAAGCAATTTGTTTCAAATAATCATAAACAGTTCAATTAGACAAATTTAATCTCTTAGTGATTTCACGTGTTGTTATTCGGCAGTTTGCTTCAATCAGTACCTTTATTTTGTTTTCATTGGCTTCAACTGGCCATCCAGAACGTGGTGCATCTTCAATATTGAAATTGCCAGAATGAAATTTTGTAAACCAGTTTTGGCACTGTCGTTCTGTCAATACATCTTCTCCATACACGTCACACAATTTTTTCTCGCTTGAACAGCATTCTTACCTTTTCGGTAATAAAAGAGCAAAATATGCCGAAAATGCTGCTTTCGATCTTCCATATTTGATGGGACACAAAAAATAAACAATTGCACAAAATTAAACAAAATTTTTTACAAATAAGCCTTAAAATGCTAGCTGTCAAAATATATAATGATAATACAGTTTAGAATGAAAATGGTGGGAAAAATACAACTAATCCATCTAGTGGTAAAAAAAAACGAACTTACTTTCTGAACAACCCTATATAATGGATTATTAAAATAAAATGACATAGGCATTATTTGATATTTAAAGTACAGTAAGTTTATATGATTAATTCTTATGCATACTATTTATAAATGTTTTTATGAAGCTCTAATATTACAGATACTTCATTGGTCTTTTTTTCACTTTCATTAATTAATGTAGGTAAATTAATTAATATAATTAGAATATATATAAATTTTATTTCAAATTTTAAATTAATTTAATGTTTATACAAAACTGTTTTAGATTCTTTTGTTTTCTTGAATTGCCCATTAGTTCCATTGATCTGTTCTGACACAACTTCTTATGATGATGTCATTTATTTATTTGTGGACTGTTTTCTATATTTCTGTATTTATTTACCATTATATAACTGAAAACACATTACAATTTAAGAAAGAACCAAGCTGTTTCTTTTAATACAGTACTTTAAATCTGGAATGTTAACTTCTATATTTTAATGTGACAATATAGAAGTCATTTACATTGTTAATTTAAATTTATAAGATCATCATGCAAGATTACAAAAATCATGTAAAAATGAGATTAAAAAATGCATTTAAATAAAAAAGATGGAAAATTATATTTCTTGTATGTTTCTTTGTTTCTGATTTTTTTAACCACGTTAATCAGTAGATCAGAAAGATCCACTGATTAGAATTGGAAAGGATTTAATTGTTTTCAAAGAAATAATAATAGGAATTCTGTTTATAATATATTTACATATATGAATTATAATGCATTTTAACTTTATCTCTCACTCCTCTACAGTTTCAGAGAAATTTTAAGAGGATATGCAGTAAAGAAAATTTAATATAATATTTGTCTACTTACATATTTATTTATGTACAAATATCTCTGACTTCCATAGTCAATAGCAATTATATAACTTAGTAATATAAAACTTTAAACAGATATTTTCAAACAAAAGCAAGATTTTTTTATGATACACATGAAACATACCAAAAAAACATATATATATATCTATTTTTCCTGTTATGAGTCAGATTATCCTGTAATGATGAAAATTGTGGCACTATATAGCCTTAATGCAGTGATGACTTATATTGACAAAAGCAATCAATCATTATTTTCTTTCATTTTGAAAGATATAATAATAATGTCAACTGACAGTCAAAAATATCATGATAGACAAGAAAAATAGCAACTTTTCTGTTCTTGCTAGCAAATTGTTAAAAGCATTCAAGTGTGTCCAATAATGTTCACATTTGGAGTTAATGTTTGTGTGTCTAGAAGGAAAAATTGCCACACAAACCATGTAATGTCATTCAGATTACTTTGCAATATTATTTGAACATAATTATTTAGAATAAGGATTCTCTTTTAAGATCTGCTTTTTCACTTTTGAAATTTGGAAAAGTTTAATATTTTTCTGTGTAAATAATACTATTGGGTTGTTCGGAAAGTAATTTTGTTATTTTTCCGTGGAAAAAAACACAACATTTTTATAATAAATAAATATTTTATTGAATTACATATCGACCATTTTGGTCAAATATCTATTGTCATCGTTTCTGGTAGTAGCATGATTTCACATTCATAAAAGTTTTTATCATTGCTTACAAAAAACTGATCCAAGTGATTTTTGACATTGTCATTTCAAGTAAATGTCTTACAGTTAAAAAAAATTTGTATAAACCAAACCGCTGTTTAGTATAGGAATTGATTCAAATGATGNTGTTTCTTGGTGAGACAAAATTGTTAAGGATTTATATATATATATAAATCCTTAACAATTTTGTCTCTTTAATAGCCTAATTAAAAATAAACAATGATTAAAAAAGAAATTACATCAATATGTAAAGCCTATATGGTTAATTAAAAAAATACAGTAATATTCCCATTTATACCATTATGCATATTTTCAAATTGTTATATTAATAAAGTATTTTCTAGTGTTTGTGAAAATGAACTGGTATATTTATTAATGAGATTATATCTTTTGTTACAAATTAATCTAAATATATAATTTTTAATTTCTCATTGGTAGATAGGCAGTGGTGTTCATCCACCTGTTAATCAAATTCTAGATGTAAAGACATTATTTGTAAATGAACCGTACAGCTTAAGATCACTTAGCTCTAGTCATTTGGTAAGTAGGAAAATTTTGTTTTAAAATATTTTCTACTTTTATTTTATATTAAAAAATAAACTGTTAATATTAATAGAGTGGGTTATGTCGACTTCATGGACTTTCTTCATTTCCTGTTAAAAGTTCTCGTTTATGGAATCATGCTGGTTTTATAAGAGAAATGGATCTTGCAATGGAACGTGAAGGAATGAGTATGATGAGTTTAGATGAATTACGAAGGGTAACTTTGTTTTAGGTATTGTTACTCTAGTGTTTATCATATAATCAATATTCAAATGTGATATATTTTCACACAAATTTTTATAGCATTTATGAAACATAAAATTATATTTTTTAAAGCTTTGTTATAAACAATCAAGTTTGGCATAAATTTATTTGTGCCAAACTTGATGATTTGACTTTTACAGTTTTTAGAGATTCATTCTGAATTTTTTTCTTTTAAACTGTTTTTAATTGAAGAAGTTTGTTCAAGAAGGATATAAGTCCATAAGTTTATGTTTTGAGATATACAAAAAAAACTGTGCTACATCCAAAGTATTTGGGCCACTGGCAAAAACCCCAGTGGCCCACATAGAGCTCACATAAAGGATATGTCCCCAAAATCTGCATAGTCACAACTACATCAAATGTTGATGTAGTTGTGACTATGCAGTCCCTGGACATACCTCCTTTGTTGCACACAAGAGTTTCAGTCAATATTAATACACTTTTGATTCAACAATATGAACTTTTATTCAAGGTATTGTTATTTGAAATGGGCTTCTTTTCTTGGTTATTGTGATTCTTCCAAAGAGCTAGCAAATCAATGAAATATGAAAGTTTTGGATTAAACATTGCTTCTAACACAAAACTATGCCTTTTCCATCAAACTGATTCACATTATGATGAGTTATCTAATTATCTGACTATTTAGAGAAAATAATTGCAAAAAACTTTTTAATATCCTTAGTTATTTATTTGGTAAGTGTAATTAGGTAGAAAATATTTTGCAGGAACCTGTTGAATTGCTATAAAAAAGAAAAACAAGGTTCAGTAAGAGTACATTGAAGACAATATGAGTGTATTGAGTAGGAAAACTTAATTTGAAAATCTGGCAACATTTCCTCTAAGAAGCAGAAAAATGTATGTCTATGGACTTGAATCCTTCTTCTCCTTCCAGTTTCCCAAAAGCAATTGAAAAGTATCTACATCTTTAGACATATATCATTATTCCACACTTATAAACATTGAATATTTGTCACAGCCCTCAATTAGGCATGATGTATATTTTTTATTGTAAAGATAGATGGAGACATATGCACACAGGACAAAACCACTGATAACTCAAAACTGGCAAGTTGTGGACGTATATCCCTTTTGCACTGACTTCTTGAAATATATTATATTTATTATATAAAATCTCCAAAAATTATAATTCAGACGTTTATAATGTAAGAATAAATAAAAGAACTAAATTGAACAGCTACTGTTGTAAAAACTCAAAAATTGTACATATTTAAAAAATACTTTTTTTAATAAAATAAAAGCAGTGCAATTGAATACATTAAACTGTTTCTTAACAAAAATAGATAAAGTTCTTGTACATAAATGGAATAATATGACAATTTTAAATTACAGACTTGACTGTAAATAAACAAACAAAATAGAGTATTCAGATTCAGGTTGAACAAACAAAATAATCTATTCTTGTTTATGATTGAGAAAGTCAAGTATTAATTCTAGACTCTGTCAAATCTTAAACAAATAAATAATGATAATCACATTGTCTAGTATCAAAAGAACATCCTGACACTTCAAACAATGTCAAGGAAGATAAATAGCATAATCATAAGAGACATGTCAACTTTTTTTTATACGATTACAATGAAATTTATGTTCTAGTTTGGTGTTTGAATTTAGTTAATAATATAACAATTTTCTAGTAAATTTACACTGTAATTCAATATTTAATGCAATTGGTTTTATTATAAAATGTTAAATAACTCTGATAATATATATAATTTTCTCCAAGAGTTTTAAATTTTATGTGGTTCAGTTATTAAAGGGAAACACAAAATTTTACTTTCTGAAATTGCTGTTATATTAACAACATTAGAAAGCTAACTTTTAAAACTCTTGGATTATAATGTCAATTATTTAATTGTTATGTAATGAAGTTTTTTATATGTGTGTATATTTTTTTAAAATCAGTTAATCTTTATCTCAAAAGATGTAGATACAGAGAAAAGGGCATAAAGGCATAATCTAATATTTTAAATAAAATAATTGTGGATTACACAAAAGTTTAGGAATCTTTCAAATTGTACATTTAAAAGTATATTAAGTAGAATGAAAGTTGAGATTCTATCTTATTCATTTTGTCCTGTATTATTTCAAATTTTTACATTTGTACAAATAAACTATTGAGTTCAAAAAGGCCCCAAGCCCATTTTTTTGAAATACTGTACATTTATTATGTACAGTATTTATAGCAAGTTTTAGGTGCTCTACGTACTGGTAAAGTGCCAAAACTTGGTTTTTCAATGTAAAACAGACCATGACCTTCTGTTGTTTTTATGGAGAGCTGTTGTAGCCTTTGTGGATAGAGAAGAGTCTGAACTTGGGATCTTTTTGACCTTGACAGTTCAAATAATGCAAGTTCTGTGTTCATTTTTGTTTCCTTATGTTAATCCTTTGTTTGATTATTGAAATACTAAGAGCAGGAGCAATCTCAGTGTTTTATGTAACATTCTTTTCCAATAACACCATTTATCATTTTGTTTTTTTGTAACACATCTGTTTATACTCAAACATTTCATATCAATAAATGAGGCTAATTATTTGTTTATATTTTTAAAATGAGGTTTTATTATGTTAGATATTTTGTTGATATTTTCATCTCACTCATCTTATGTAATTGAAATATTTTCATTTATAAAATATTTACAAGATTTAAGATAATCTATGAAACTGACTCATAGGAATTATAAGTATTTCATTTTTCTTGTTACTCAAAAAAAATTCAATAATCTTAGTATTAATTTGTTATTTATAATCTTGCAAAAATTTATTCTATACTTTGCATGTGAAGATTGTCATCTTAAATATAACAATTGTTTTTAGACTTGACATATATACATACTAATCAAATTTTAAAATTAGAATTTCAAGCACATTTAAAAAATTTTCTTTTATACAAATATTTAAGATTAAATATAAATACTATAAAAAAATTATAAATTAAATTTACTTTTAATAATTGATTTAAACTATGATTTTTTATTGGTTGTTTACAGTTTAAGCTATAAATTTATATTTTTTGATCAAATTTTTTTTAATATGATCTTCTCTTGCTATTTGATATTTTATTTGCATCTATTTTCTGTCATCTGAATTATAAAATGATTTTATATATATAGAAGAATATATATTTATAATTAATGAAAAAACATTCCTTTGACAATTATAAAAATTGTTATTTTTTATTATTTAATTTGATAGTGCCAGAAATACTAAATCAATACTATTTATATGGTGAATAATTATAAAATAAATCTATTGTTTAAGTTTAAATATTAAAAATAATGCACTTTTTTAAAAGTACATTATTTATTTTCTTTGTTTTTTGAAGAATGAACAGAGTTCATCTACTTGTTTTAATTGGATGATTAGCATGGCACTGATAGCTGCAACAAATCTATAATTATAGTTATAAATGATTAGAATCAATATGCAATTCCTGTTTGAATGAAAAGAAACTAAAATATGGAGATTATATGTATACTAGTTGTTTTTTCTATAAAGCTAACTTTGAAAATATTATTTAGAATTAAAACCTGACACTATGCATATGTTTTGAGCAAACCATTATATACAGATGGTTATTGTATATAATAGTTGCTCATTTAATTGTATTGTTTTTACCGTTTAAAATTGTTTCTGAATGAGATCAATAATTTAAATAATAATGTTATTTTTCAACATTTTTTTCTAAAGACTGTTTTATTCAAATAATTAGTATAGTTGGAACTGAAACGGGTATTTGAAGTTCATTCCAATCTTTACTGTTTTTATATATATATAATATAAATATACACAGTAGAAATTGTTTATTATAGTCATGGATATTGTTATCAGTCAGCTAATGTCATCAGAATTAGTTTATCTCAGAACAAGTTAAGATATACTTATACTTGTAAGTATATTTTACTCATAACTTTGCTTATTGTAATTAGAATTTGGTTATAGTTATCATTATTTTTAGGTAAATGCACATTTTTAACATGCCACCAGTGAAAAAAAATTTTGGGGGCCATTTTTTTTTTTCCATATTTATATTCTTTTCATATCAGAAAATCAAAATTAGTTCTTTGAATTGATTTTTAAAAATGTTTAATCATAAATTATTTTTAAAAATTTAAAAATCATGCACTAAAAATAGGCTTGGGTCTGCCATGCTGAGAAAAATTAAACTACATTTACAGAAGTGCTCTGTGCAGTACTACTGTAATTCGTGGAGCATATTGTATAATTAGTCATTGAGGCACAAACCTTGTACCTCGAAGCACTAGAGGAAATTTTTAGTGAGTCATACAAATGGTACCTATGGCAGTTAACATGTTTAGCTATCTTTAACACTATTGATATTAATATGTAGCTGATAACATTTGTTTCCAGTTAAGTATTGTAAATGTTAAACTGATTGTTTTAATCGTTATTTGCTCACAGTTTAAGTAGCTGACATTTGTTGTAATAACTATAATTGATAAATTTTGAAGTTATAGTTGGTTTTAATATATCTTTTTAATGTAATAGTTAATAAAACCCAAAATTTCAACTAAATGTAATCTTATTTGATTACCCCACTTAAATTAATATCATCGATTTATTATTATCATCAGAATAGAGAATCACTCAAAGACATATAAAAGTTTATTATTTCTAGTGAATAACTTTTAAAAAATGTCAGAAAAATACTTGAATTTTCAGAATTAACTCAGAAATGTCTCTATATTATGGTTATTGTTTCTATTTTTAAAATTTTTTTTAGATTATGTAAATTACAATAATAAAATATTGTTTTTTATGAGAATATAATTTTAATGTATTATACTAAAGCTATGTTGTAATTGAGATAACACTTCTGAAATATATATATTTTTCTGTACTTCCATAACAGTTTCATTCAGTCTCAATGCAGAGAATGTTCATAGAATTTTTAAATAATAATTTTAAAATGTGATTATGATATTAATTCATTCATTTCCTATCTCAGGTTAATTGAAATATTTGTTGTGATGAACTAACAGCAATTTTTATTTGTAGATATTGGACATTAGATATACAGAAATAATGAACTTTCACAATACATAATGCTTATTAAATTTTTAATTAAATTAAGAGGAAGAGTGATTATGATCGATGCTACATATCTTTGATCTGCAAGACTTGATTGATTGATTTGGAAGCTTAATAAATTACTAAAGTGATTGCAGCAAGATTTCTTTTTCTGTTGTAAAAGTATTCTTATATCATTTTCACTTATAAAAAAAAATGATGAGAAACCTTATAAATGTTGTTGTTAATAATAATTCCATTGATTCTTTTTGTTGCAATATGATGTCTTACTTTTGATTGATCACACAAAAATTTTGAAATTGTACAACTAATTGACTTTATGTTAATCTTATATTTACTTTGAGTCAGATACTGGATAGTTTTACTAAAATATTTTCAATATTAATTTAAGAACATAGAAAAGTAAATAACCCAAGGTTAAAGAATTAATAAAATAATAAAAATCTTATAACGTCAGAGGTAGATGGTAATAAATAGCTGTAATCAGTAAAACTTCATTCATCATAAACTACAAAAACAACAACTCATACCTTCAAATGCAGTACAAATTTTACTTTTTCTAACATTTTTGGTTGTTTTAAACGACCTTCCTCAGGATAAAAACCTATTGCAATTTAAAAATAAGAATGAAAGCTGCCCTCTGGAACAATTTGCATTTTGAAATTTTAAATCAATTCATTTAAAGGTGAGTGGTTGTTTTTGTAGATAATGAATATATAATTTATATGAAATTAAGCATATAAAATAATTCTCTCTTCATTTTCATGCTAAAATAGTTGTTAATTACAAATAATTTACATTAGTAAACAATGTAAATTAATTTTATATTTGGTTAATTAAGTTAAATAACATAAAATTAAATTTGAGATAACAATCTCTCTTCTTTTTATCAACATTCGATCAAATTCTTTGGAGTTAAAAAAGAATCATGTACAATATAGTTTCTCAATCTAAAACATATCATGGATGGGCAGATTTTCAAAGTTTTCTATCAAGGATTGTATGCAAAAAATACTTTTTTTGTCACTTTTTTAGTTAACGAAATAAATAAATAAGTAAAATAACAACAATCAAAAATACAAATTTTTGTATATAAAATAAATATAAAATAAAGTGTAATCATGTGATTTTTTTTTTTTATGTAATTTTTTTGAGTGTCAATGATGAAATGACTGTAAAACAAAGTGTTTGATTTGCAGCCAGCCAATTTCTATGTTTTGTTTTTATTTAAAAAATGTTGACCTGTTTGTTTTTCATTGCCAAAAAATTGCATTTCACAAGTAGGTTGCTGAAAACAGCAAGAAAACATACATTACCGTTTCATGAAATGTTCTAACTTTTTATAAATTTGTGACTTTATCCACATCAATGCTTGGAGTAACAACACACTTGCTTAAGCTACAATTCTAACCGGAAGCTCACCATTATCAATAAAAATATCTATTTATTGTAAAATGTCTATTTTTATCGAAATTTTGTTATGATTTGATCAGACAATTTTTTGGGGTTGTAATTTTCATACATGAGTTGTGCAGAAACATTGATTTACAAAATGTATCAAATTATTTTAGCTACCTTTTAATTTAGAATTTTTAATTAAAATTTTTGATATGTGATGATTATTATTAAATTATTCCTTTAAAGTAGATTTATATTGATTTATTTTTCGATTAATTTCTTATAGACTATTTCTGTAGTTATTAATTAAAACATTTGCATTAATATATGACAAATATTTTGTGAAATAATGACATGGTAGGCATGAAAAATTTCCAGCCTAACTGTGTTTTAGATGTTAGTGGTATAAAACAATGATGTCATTTTTCAATATAGTTTCCTTGCAGTTTTGTCTGCAGAATCCTCATAAACTGCCTCCTGCAACTCTTCATCACATTTTTGAAGGTCTTTTTTTAGTTTTGGAAACAGATAATAATCACTAGCAGCCAGTGATTATTAAGGTGGATGATCAAGCTCATCAAACCCACACTTCTTCACAGAAGCTTGGCAATGACAACTGTTAGCTCTGGTGTATTGTCCTGCAAGAGGTAAACATGATGCAAATTGATGCAACAAATCTAACTAAAATGAATGTTTCCAAATGACTTGTGCAGGAAAATGTGTTTTATTAGTTCACATACAGATGGTGCTATCTGATACTATCATGTCTAAAATATAGTTAGGCCGGAAACTTTTGGCGCCTACCATGTAATTTGAAGGGATATAATTGGAGAGTATATAGCAGTATATACCACATATCTTATTCTTTTTAATAGAAATATTGTATGCCTATTAATTTTTATAATTTTTCATATAACCAGAGAATATTTGTTAAAAGAAATTACTCTTTAGATTTATTTCGAATAATCAAACAAAAATCTTCATTTTTAAAAAATAATTACTTATATTCTTGTTTCCAATACCAATTTTAAACATTAAAAAAATATTGTAGAGAAATTGTATAAGTTTTACTACATTTACAATAGAATACAAAGAAATAATTATTATTTTCCTGTATTTTATTTTATTAAATTAAAATTATTTTAAGTTACACTGAACAAAATGGATTATCTTGTAAGTTGCTTTTATCCATAATTAATTTTGACAGTTCAAAATATCAGTAAAATGAGTTTGAACTTTTTTCATTTACAACAAGTAGTTAAAAAAAAAAACAATTCTCAGAATTTGAGTGAAATAACACTACAAACTGGTTTGATTCATAAATTGGGATTAATGCATATTAAATAGCTATTAAGTATTTGAAATGAGGTAATATAAGAGCTTATACTATTCAATATATTCTAAATTAACCTTACAGTTGGTATACTTGTTAAAAATGTATCATAGCTTAAGTTTGGAAGCATGGAAAAAAGTGGGTTTTAATTTCAAAGAGATTCTTAATTAGAATATTTATTTAATATAATTAATTAAAAAGTTATCATCTAGCATATAAAAATATCCATTTGAATTTGAGAGTTTTTCTTGTAATAAGAGAAGACATCATTACACATTGCTGGTAATGGATATGAAGTGTCTTTAATTTGAATATTTTAAAATAAAGTATAAATAAAATTAAAATAGATATACTAGGAAATTTATATTCTTAACTTAAACATTTTGCAGTAAATAATTAAGGAAACTGTTACTCTAATTTCTAGCATTTAAATGTGTGGTTGATAGAATGTGATTTTTAAATTTGGTTACAGGTAAATCTATTTAGTTCAATGGACATTTTAAATGCATGATAGAGTTTGTTTTTTATTTAAACTTTTTAAATTTCACTATGCAATTAAATTAATTTAGATGTGAAGAATATAAATTTAAATATTACATTAATTAAAAAAATTAAGTTTTTTAATATCAGTCTTGTTTGTGTCATATTTGTTGGTTTTAATTTTATTAATTTTAAAGCAGTAAAACTCTTAAATTTCAAAAATTTTATCTTTTTATGAGGTAATGAAATGTAAGTTATTTTTTGTTATAATTTTAAAGTATAAATTTCTAACTTACTTCCATATAGCAGCATACCCAGATTTTTTACTCGGTGGATCAAATTGTACATAAATTGATAGGCACATATTTATATATTCCAAGTGTAGTAAATCTCCACTAATTCAGACTAATGGGATGAAGGTTGTCCAAGTTTACAAAAGTTTGAGTTAGCAGGATTTTCTCCAATGATATGGAAAATGAGAACATGATGTACAGTACAGTAATTTATTATGATTGACTCTATATAGAAGTTTTATTGAGCTTTATTAGGTTATATTGCTGAATGTATTATAGAAAATGAACTTAAAAAAAATTACATGACAGTACAGTATAAAGCAAGGTAAGCAAATCTTTAGAAACTTACCAACTACAGTAATATAATGCACAGTATTGCAAAGACTTCTGGATATTGAAATGAGTAATTATAACTTTTTTATTGTTAAGAAACTTTAAATTACTGTAAAATTGTTTTAAAAAATTTGAGTTATGTGAAGTTCAAGTTGATGGGGTTTATATAAAAATAATTTCTGGAAAACCTGTCTTGACTAATGTGTCTGTCACTACCTGTAAAAGTACATAAAGTGTTCCTTTGTTTACCTTGAAATTACTGAGTGTAAGTTAAGTATATTAGGGAATTGTATAGTTTATAAAATTTTTTATTTTTTTTTTGTTTCAACAATCCATTTACAACTGATGCTTTGAATATCTTTGCAAGTTAGATATACTCTCTGACCAGCTTGGACAGTGCAATAAAGAAATAATTTTGATTTATTTTGTTTCTTATACTGTAAAATTTATCAGAATTAATATAATGTTTAGCTGTTAATAACTATTATTGGCATTTTTTAAACTTATACTAATATATTCTAATTTTTTTATTTTTCTAGGCTTGTTTTATGAGAGGATTAAGCCCCTTAGGCCTTCACAGAGATGAAATGATTACTTGGTTAAATCAATGGACCTTAGTTTCAAAAAATATAGATAGTAAATATGTTTTTGCTTGTTTATTTATAAGAAAACAATTTTTTTAGTAATATTAAATTTAAATATTTTTTTAGAAAATATTTTTAAAGAAAATTACCTGCACTAATTAATTAATGTTTTATAAAAAAAAATAATAACTGTTCTTTCGATCATTTAAGTCTTAGCCAAAGTCCATTTCTTTCGATTTCCTTTTCATTCTCACCACTTGGATAAACTTGAAAAATTCTCATTCTTTCTGCACCATTTGAATAATTAATAACAGAAAATAAATAAAAACTGACTGAGGTCTTGTGTTCAATCATTTAGCCTGACAGTTTTTTTTTTTTGACAATTAACTATTCAAACTTAATTAGTTTCAAATTTAACTATTAGTGCTTTCAGTCGCATAAGTTATTTTACTATCAAAAGTGATTAGCTTAATTAGGGAAATAATTAAATAATTTTATCATACTCCTAAAAATTAGTTATTAAATTACATTAATTTATAATTTACATAAAGTTCAATAGTAATGGCTTCAGGTGTCAGATAAATTAGATTCAAGCTCAAGCAAAATGAGTGACTGCAAAGTCTTATCGTTTGAAATTGGCTGTATTTTAAATATATTTATTTTTATTAATTATGGCCATTCAACTGGTTAACCACCTCTGACTCTCATTTAACTATGCTTTGGGCAATAATTACGCTTCGATTTTCAAAATTCTTTTTTGTCTTAGCATTTCAATGCTTTTTTGGAATGACATTTAGTCACTTTGACTCATCAGTTTGTTATGGTCCAACCTTTTTAAATTGTTAATTATATTTAAGGTACACTTTATGCCCGTAGTAATGAGAAAAATGTGTAAAATTATTATGGATGTTATCTGTAAAATTTTAATAATATCTCATTATAATTGCATATTCTCTACATATATATGTCAATGATTAAATACAACCAAAATTACAGTTTGCATACTTAAAATTTTTATTAGTTTTATTAGTAATAATACTATCCGAACTGTCATTTTTCTATACAGAAAATGGATACTTGGTGGTATCTGACAATTACTCATACTAGAGTAGAAAATTATATTTATTTCATTATCAAAATTCTGTTTAAAAAATGACTGTCTTGATAGTGTATAGATCATTACTGCACAAATGATTATAGTATGGCTCACATACCTTGACATCAATAAATTTTTGAACAACTTTCCTGTCATGTTGCCATTTCTTGACTTTTTTTCCCCAAATTCAATTGAATACCAAAGTTTTCCCGAGGGTAAATGAAGGAAAGGATGCTATGACAGCTAAATATCTTGATCCGCCATATGAGAACCAAAAAGTATTAATGATGGCAGCTTAAACAATACAAAGTAACAATTAAGAAAAGTAAAAAGAATATTTAGATACATTCAGATGTAGTTTTTTTTTTAAATAGCCACATGTTATTCTATACTATTATTTAGTCTGTACTTTTTTCTTTTTTTTTTTTTTATAAAGGTATGCAATTTATTTGTTAATAATTTCTTAGCATTTCCAGAAACTAAGATAAATTAAGGGCACAAAATTAATATTTGTAAGTCATTTTCAACACTTGCAAAAATTAATTATTTTATGATTCACACCCTGTTTACTTCGGGTTATATTTATTATCTTCCTGTTGGCAAGAGATTGAAATTATTTTCTTACAGTAATTCACAAAGTTAGTAAGCATAACAGAATATATTTTCTGGTTTGTTAAGTTATAAACTACAAAATATTTTGAAGAATTAATTATTTTCGTACGTAGAATTAATATGAAAATACTATTTAATTTCAGAATGAAGATTTGTTTTTAATATTAAATTTCCTTTCTTTTTTTTCTGCAGGTAGATCTCTTTCCTTATTGTTGCATTGTCCTATTCTTCTAGCTTACAATTATTCCAGTAATTGGATTCTCATCCATTAATTTTCTCCCATACGAAAATAATTTATATACTTATTAATCGACACTGTACATAGTTATGTCGATTATAAGAAGATATATCCAAAAAAATCTGTCAAAACTCTAAGCAGAAAATGTAAAAATTGCTTATTGTCAATTTTTTCCGACATTTAATTTATTCATTCATTGTAAGTCATTTAGTTATTTTCTGTAAGAAGTTAATAATAATAATAAAAAAAAGAATTATTATTTTTGATTAAATTCCGTTTTTACAATACATCATTCATCACTTTTACAGTCGAATATCTACAGAAATTACTGGAAACACCATTGCATTTTTTTTCCACGTTATGTCCTCACTAAGGGATGTTAAAGTAAACAAAACATTATCCGAAACGGAGTTAGGTGCTACTTTCTAGTGGAAGTCAACTGCCAATCATCCTCCTTATTTTAAAGATTTACAGAGGTCAATGACGCATCGGTTTATTTCCTTGTAAATATTCTTCACATCTGCTAAGTGGAGGAAATACTACAGTTCTAAACAAAGCCGGAAGTTATCTGTCTCAATTGAAATTTAGGAAACAATCCTCTATCTGTCGGATTCTACACGCACCCAAAAAGAAAAAAATTGTATATATATATATATATCTCAATATCCTGGTGTGAGAAAGTTCCTGTTTTAAAATTAAAAACAGAGGATGTAGTTTTTAAATCGTCAATATTTTATTATCTGTGAAGATTTTTCTTGAACGTTTGGCTAGTTTTGACTATGAAAATGAAAGAAGAAGAATTCTCACGAGTTAATTTTTCCGAGTAAGACGAATTAGGAATGGTTTAGAGAATGATAGAACCATAAGCAATAGAAAAAAATTTCCATGTGTATGAAGAGACGATAGTTAAGTTTATGTATATTATAAAGGAAAGGCATGCAATTTGAAGTGCGAGTGAAAAATTTGGGTCGATGTAGATGACACTTTTAACTCTTCGATTCAATGGTTAACCTCACTTTTCGAGAATGTCTGCGTTAAAGATAATTAGAATATGACCTTGCACTAATGTCGGTTGAACGTACTCAGTTTTGATTTTTAGCATTTTATAATAAAGCGGGATAATAATAATAATAATAACAACTTGGAATGTTAAAAATAAGCAACATATTTTAACATTTATCTGAATTGAGCATCTCAAATTTAAAATGTGAGAGATTTAATAATTGAGTTTTTATTATTTTAGAATTGGAACATTAAAGATCTTCAGGTAATTCGTAATTTAGCGTAAATTGAATCCGAATTTAAATATTTTCGCTGATTCCGGAACACAAAGAATGAGGAATTAATGAAGTTTAGGTGCGGACTTCCTTTTCTTTTAGAAGTCGGTAACCCGAATCGTAACTATCACTAATTAGTTTTTAATAATAATAACATTCCTTCCTGTATGTTTGGTCAATAAATCACATCAACATAAAAAGACAAAAATAGCCATGCAAATTGATATTCCTTTGATGCTGGCCGCCATTGGAGAGTAATTACTTGATAGGGACGAGTTCTATTTAAATATCTATTCATTTCAAGCACTGTTACCTTCTGCTAGAATCCAGTAGTCATACAAATTTACTTAATTAGAGCCGTAAAGTTCCGAAAATAAAAGTAAACATCCTCCGTTGGTCATGTCGTAATTTTACTAGAAAGAAGGACTTTTTTATTTGGCTTTTTTAGAAAAAAAGACGTTAATTTGTAACGAGATTAAACCGTTAGTTTAAATGACAAAACAATTAAGCTGTAAATAAAAAAACGAGTAAGAAGAGACAGAGCTAGGGGACGAACATGGGAAACTCTCATTGCAGCAGGAAGTTCGTCTTTTGAAAATAATCATTAGTTCTGCTAGAGTGACAATTCTTCCGCAAGCTTCTCTGTACAAACAGTGATTCCGTGTGGCTGTGGATCACTAACCAGCGAATGGTTAGAAACCATTACTAGGAATCGCCACATCGATGATCTATAATATATAGTATTATGGTTTGACTCGTTTGTGCCTTATTAATCTGATTCGGACACCGCAACATCTGTTTTCTTCGCTTGTTTCCTCTTAGTCTACTTTACTAACAGGTGGTTTCATGGCTAAACATTACACAGATGCGAAAATATTACTTAAAATTAATTTCTTTTATCGTCGTAATCAAGTGAAATGGTGGCATTTTCTTGAAAACGAATGGGATCTTTATTATGTTTGTAGTTTATTTTATGAATATTTTTTATTGTTTTAGAATTGTGTAAAAACGTATAAACTTTTTTAATCGTTGCGATTCCATTAACCTAAACGACGACTTGAACTTGTGTATCTTCTTCACCCTTAATTTTCTTCCGACTATTTCGCTGTTTCCATTCTATAATGTACCATTCTTTTTCTCTCGGACATTCTTTGTGTTTTTGTGCAATCTTCTTGTTTTTGAGGTAAATCGTGTCGTTTTCCATCGAAAGAATTTTAGTTACTCCACAATTGTTTTGATTATTTTGTCATTTATATTTGAAACACAGTCATGCTGCAATCATTATGCTGTTGAGATGTCTTTCTATGATTTAACATTTTAAAGTGTATTTGATCGTGATTCAATTCATTTTTGCGTTAAAAATCCTTTCTGGAGCTTAAATCTTGCTTCAAATATTCGTCTATTACATTGAATTTATCCATCTTTTTACTGATATTTTTTGTTCAGAGCTTGTAATTAGTCTTGTTTTCATCTCTTCAAAATTTGTTGCTCTTGTTTTATATATACTTTTCTATATTCAGCTGTCTGTTTTATCTTCTTGTCTTTCTCTAATCTTCTAGTTTCGTACGCACCACCTACGCTCCAATTATACGTCTGTTTATTTTTATGTTTTGCTGGTTTTCTTATAATTATTCCGATACAATTATGTATTGATTTTTATTTTTAAATTTATTCTAATTTAAGCGCAATTCTTTTGCTCTCCCCAAAAAATTTCTGTTCTGATACTCTTGCATCGTTGTATTTCCAGAAATGTAATTAGGAGGAACAGAATTTAAATGCAGTTATGAAAACGGAAACTGTTCTGTTTGCATTGTTTTTCTATTATTTACATTGCTTATTTCTCTATAGTACTTTCTTCATTTTAATGATCACTAAGTACCAAAAATCGTTCTGTTTTAATAGTTTCTTCAATTTATTTTTCTGTATGTCTCCTTTGAAAACACTAATTAACAAGTTGATTGAAGTGATTCAAAATTTTCACAAGGTACTTAATGATTTTTTTACATTACACAGAAATTTGAAAAACATGGGAATAGATAATTTTTAGATATCTTCTTCCATTCACGTCAAAACAATATATCATCAAGCAGTTTATAATCTTTTTAGCTACAAATGAAGATATAATCGTAGAAGCGAATACTTACGTATTCATGTATTCTCTCACAGATGATGATAGATCATATTATCCTGCAATTATCAAGATACGAAGCACGCTTTTTATATAATGATCATATATTCTCTACTAATAATATATTTAAGCGGTAGTACACATCTTGTTCGTTGACAACACAATAATTGTAAGTAGTACAAATACTGTACGTCTCCACACTCGGTTGGCTTCTTAGTGTAATGAACTCTATCAAGCAAAGGTGCTTAGCGCTACTGTATTTTTTTTTTTCATGTGTCCTGACTATCGCCACGTGTCCACGCGTGGTTACAGTTTTTGTATGGTAACGACTTGTCAAACGATAGATCGATTCTGGATACGAAATATTTACAACCGGCACCCGTTTAGGTCGATCAGAAAGTGATTTGGAGCATTCAAATTAGGAGATTAATTGAAACCTGTGTACTCCAACGAAATTGATAGCGGCACTTTCGAGCAATGAGTTGTGAAATTGCATAACACTTAGAACATATTTACTGTCGTGTGTGCATAAAAAGCATTCGATTGTCACTTTGGCTTCAGGCTACAATTTATATTCATCGCGTGCATCATACTTTACAGAATAAGATGGCTCTCATCTGTAACAAATGATACGGAGGAACTTATTTATGTCATATGCAAGAAATGGTGCTGACAAGACTTCATTAACGATCTGAAAATGAATCTTGAATTTTTAAAATTTTTTTACTCCTTGCATGTTGCGTGTTTGATGATGATGCTGATAAACACTTTAAGCATTATGTGTCGCTAATATGAACCACATAGGTTTATAGAATAATTATGCATTTATGTATGAAATTCTACAATTTGTAATCTTGGGTCTAAAAGAAACAAACGACAATAGTGAGCAAGCTAACTTTTATCAATTTAGAATCTCCGCTTGTTCCCTGAAAACTATCAATTTAAAGGCTCGAGGCGATATGTTAGAAAAAAAAGAGGTTATTGATACTTTTTCCTCGATTCTACTCGTGGATGAGTTATTTGAAATTTCACATTGATACGGTTGCTGATCGTACAATCGAAAAAGAAAGTCTCTCTTGTTTCGTTTATGCAAAATGTCGGGTTTTTTATGCACGTAACGCTTTATATCGTGGAAATTCCATTCATTTTTAGAGATGAATTACAGCTCCCTGACTTTTTTTTAATGCTTCTAGGCATTTTCAACGAATGTAAAAATGTTGATATAGGTAATTCCTGTTTAGTAACTACGAGCATCGGGTCATATGTATTATCCCCAGTCGAACTTGAATTTTATTTACGATTATACAAAGTACCTTTATCAGTTTAACGCTTTAACCTTTACTAATAAATTTCATGCCCAAAATATCGCATTTTAAAGCAGTTTACTATCAAAATTTTGTAAATTTAAATACAAACTGGGGAACGATTTAACGATTATAATAAACTAGATTTGGACTTTGTAGTGAGCTATGCTCGAATGGGAATCTTATCTAAATGAACAAATTTATTATAAGGTAGGATGAACGATTGTATCAGGACATTTTTAAAATATGATTTGTGAATTTTAAAATTGGAAAAAATTATGTCCAGGTGTCACTTTACAATCTCCAAGATGGTCTGAAATGCATTTTATAATGAATGGTACCATAAAGAAGTAAAATATTTCGGTAAAACAATCGCTATGTAGTTCCTATCTTGGGAAGAAAATACACCTTTGTTTATGTAACTGAATAAAAAATTGGCGTGTAAATTTAAATTTTCAAATAATTTTTGGGTCAATTCTTTCATTAATAAATCCAAGAAGCAACCGATTTATATCTTCAGAAGGATTGAATGAAATAGGTGTGAAACCACTTCT